TTACGTCAATGATTTGTTTGTTCGCTGAGCGTGATACAATTTGAAACTTCAAAAACGTGTCAATAGCTTTCGATTTGCGAAAAAAAAAAGCAATAAACACACCAATTTGACTTACATAGCTGTTTCTTAATGCACTAGAATCAAACAGTCACGTTCGATTTTCGGAAATTCGTTGGGTGTGATTGAGTGGGAAAAAAAACAAATTGCCTTTTCAAAGCGTTAGTAGTGAAATTTCTAAAGTAGTTAACAAAAACGTCCAAGAGTCTGTGACTGTAAATTGGGTGACTTTTTAAACACTAGACGCGTAAATAGTTTTTCTGCCCACCTAGTAACCGCTTATGTCACTGGGAGTGATAGTAATAGGAACGTAACTATGGCCACTCAGCTTGAAACATGGGGTCGCAATTCAAACTTTGTATTCAACGACTTTCCTTTTTCTACATACACATTTAAATTTATATTTTTAATCCTTTCAATGCCACGTAGGTCACCGGTGCCCTTATCGATTATGAATATAATATAATCGTTAAGCTGCTACGCATTCCTTGGACAGCTATGAGAACCAATGTCTCCATCCTCGAAGAGCTGAAGGTCACCAAGCGCCTGTTGACTACGTGCCAGAAACGGATCCGGAGTTTCTTTGGGCACATAATGCGATCCCCATTGGACAGCCTGGGGAAACTCATCATTCTCGGACAAATGGAGGGGAAGCGCACTAGAGGAAGAGCGCCATCTAGATGGGTGGACCAACTCAGGGAGGTGACTGGAGGCCAGATACGGGGAGCGGTACGTATGGCGCAGAACCTGACCGAGTGGAGAAGATTGACATACAGTCACGATCCTCAGCATTGAGAGAACGACCAGAAAGAAAGAAGAGATAATCGATATGAATATAATCGATATATTATCTCGATCTCTGTTACTAAAGCACCGGAATATCTATTAGACTCAGGGAAAGACGAAACCGAAAATACTGAGAATAAACCTTTTTGTAAGAGTCCTGAAATACTAAAATATACAGTAAAAAACAAAATAAGGCAATGTTAGGCCACAGGCGTGTTTCGACAAGTCGACATAATTACTTCAGAGCGCCGCGTAGAACACCGATGACCTACACGGGCGTCATAGGGTTAATTATACTGGTGGTAGGACGTCTTGTGAGTCCGCGCGGGTGGATACCACCGCCCCGCCTATTTCTGCCGTGAAGCAGTAATGCGTTTCGGTTTGAAGGGTGGGGCAGCCGTTGTAACTGTACCAAGACCTTAGAACTTATGTCTCAAGGTGTGTGGCGCATTTACGTTGTAGATGTCTATGGGTTCCAGTAACCACTTAACACCAGGTGAGCTGTGAGCTCGTCCACACATCTAGGCAATAAAAAAAAAACTATATTTTAACCGACTCAAAAAGGAACAGTTTTTTAATTCGAGTGTATTTTTTATGTGTGTCACTTCAGACCTTTATTAGTTGAACTGATTTTAACAATAGTTTTGTTTTATTTGAAAGCTGTTGCTTCTTATATACTATTTATATTATTTCAAGGTCTGACCAATAGTTTTTGATTTACCCTTCATAGCGTATCTTAGACTTCGACTACACTTACGATATTCTTATTTTGTTTTTGTTACTTCGGTTTTCTTATCTGTGAAAATTTGTATTTTATAAATATGTAAGCTTGAGGGTAGATATTATCTTGTTGAACACCAAGTAAAACGATGGCACTATTTGATTCCTGATTTAATCAACAATATGTTATCTTAACAATTCACTTTAACACTTGTCCAACTTTAACCAGTACGTACAACAGTCACTGAATCACACAACGTAACGAGGATATAGTAAGTGCACCAGGCAAGCGCAGTCCAACGAATGTTCATTTCAAGGCACGTTCCGCCTTTTTATACTAGCCGGCGCAGCTGGCTTATGAGTCACTTCTGTTGCAGCTGTTGTTTACGAGTGGAACGACACGGCCGGCGCGCCTGGCTTGTGTGAGTCACTCCTATTGCACGTGCTATATAACATAAATATCGTTAACGCCGTCAAATACATAGAATATAAATTAACTTCGAAATTACGGCATTACAATCATACCTATTGTGTTTGATTGCATAGGTTTGTATTATATAGAATTTACGATTCGTTAAAGACACGCTAGAATGATCTAGAATATTCTGAGAATTTGAAAGCAAGACTGCTTTGATTTTATTTTTTATTAGTTCAGGGACCGAAAAAAAATACGTCGACGGACCAAAATAGTAACGCCTCTGATTGTGAAAAAATTTAAGTTTGAATCTGTGATGTCATTAAGATTTTTCATTTAAACAGTATGAGGTAAGCACCGCGATCTCCTAATAAGTAATATTTTGCATGTAAATCGTGATTTTATCTGTTTGTAGCGCATAGAAGTTTGGCTATCTCGTTTAGAGGGTATTGATAGTGGTTGTTATATTATAAAACCGTCTCGCACTGTGAAATTTCTCACGAGAAAATGTGGAAAGAATGATGGCAATTGCCCGCGTATACTCACATATCCAGAAATAATCAGATATATAGGACATAAAATTTTGTAGGGAACACTGACATATCGTTTGGGCAAACGTCTGGGCTAGTTGAGAAACCTACATATTTACTTTACGTTTTGCATTGTATGATCCAAATGTTTTCAATGACTGGATTTACTATCCAATTTCTACTACTACATTTATCCACAAAAAATCCACAGAACAGAAACTTTTTTAAGGATTAATTCATCAAAATTTATAAGCGACTATAACCACTTATCACGACAGATAAGCTTATCTGCCTTCAATGGGAATAAACAATTAGTAATCGACAGTTCCGATTTTGGATAATCTAATAGCGCGGTCTTTGAATCAACACTCATCTCCAAACTACAGCTAAAATAATTCTCAATTCGTGATTACTTCAATTAGCTGATCAACACAAACACGAAAACACAATGCAAATTTGCGAATCGTGAGTGCTTTATTGATATTATAAATCAGTTTATTGCTCTATGAGAGTAATGTTTATCAATGAACGTAAGTAATTAAATGTTTAATTATTAACAAATCGGGAGTTCTATCTGTGATCGCAAAATTGATATTCCGGTTAATTCAGAGTTAATAATGAAATAGAAGTCGTAACTGCTACGCGTTTGGGCTTCGGGATAAATAAAAATTCTACCGAAGTACAAAAGTTAAAACTGTATTCAATACTTAGAACACTAAACGAACACTTTAAAATTCTCAATTCACTTCTTCCGCTTCGCTTCAGGTGATCCGTTCGCTGTTTCGCTTCGACTAGTTCCGATTACTAACTGCTTCGTGCCATCTCTGCAACGCTTTTATGGCCGAGACGACATCCCTAGATTTATCGACAACATTCTGGGCAAGTCGAGTAGCTTCGATGTGTGATTCCGCTATCTGACAATAGATGGCGTTGTACTTCTCGAGCTTTCTCGACGTTACCAGTTCCTTTGATATTCGTTTCGACTAATCGGCGATAGATGGCGTTACTTTTACCGGCATAGCGTTACGTAAAAACACATTTCTTTTGAGTTCTTTACGCAAAATTGGGTCTTTGCATACGCGTCGGTGACCACAGATGGGGTGTGTAAGACATGAACCGATCAAATCGCCTAGTCGTTTAACAAAGAGACAAAACCCAACCGAGGCATGTGCAAGATCGAAGATAATAAAGAATACACTGGAGACTGCGAAGAAAGTCCGACTCAGCTGCCAACCAGCGGAAGTCAAATCCTGCATCAAATTCAACTATCTTATTATGTAATCACTAACCATACCATTATATTAAAGAGAGAGAGAGAGTGAGAGAGTGAGAGAGTGAGAGAGTGAGAGAGTGAGAGAGTTATAGTATTCTTTATTGTACACCAAAAAAAAAGGCGAAACATTAAAAAAAAAAGTACAATTTTGGCGGTCTTATCGCTTAGAACGATCAATTATCAGGTGGAGAAGAATCATTTGGAAACGAATTACATACGGTTTACCTATCGGGGGCACGAGGACCCAACGGACCCTAGGCGGGGGGCAAAGCGACGTGTTCGGCGCACTAATTCTAATTCTCTAAGTCTAATTCTAATTCTCCTTGCCCCCTGTAGCGACGGAATGCCGGAATTGTGGCCATTGGCACTGCGATCAACCGCAGTGAAAGTTTAGTTAGCCGTTAGCAACACATGTCGTAATAATAATTACTGTTAATGGCAAGTCGTTACTTTAGTTTTAACGCAAAGCAAATAGTAGATATGCCTATAAGTTTAAACCAGAAGCATGATCCAAACCTGCCTGGGTAGGTGGTATGGCTCATTTTTGTTATTCAGAATACACAGCTGCTTTCTAATGGCGGGCGGCAGTATTTATCGTGTTACAACCAGGGTCTCTGGTATTCTAATGGTAGGAGGCAGTACTTAGTTTGTTATATACAAAGGCTCCGGTAGCCGCTTAACAACAAGTGGGCTATGAGCCCATCATACCAGAACTCCCGATTTTTTTAAATTGATAAGATGGGTGGACGATCTTACGGCCCACCTGGTACCAACTGATCACCTGAGCCAATAGATATCAACCACGTCAATGACCTTCTTGAGACATGAGTTCTAAGTTCCCGCTTGTACAGTACAACGACTTCCCGACCCTTCAAACCGAAACGCATTACTGCTTCACGGCACAAAATAGGCAAAGAGGTGATACCTACACGTGCGAATTCACAAGAGGTCCTACCACCAATAAACTAGACATAAAATTCTTAAATTCGAAACCATTTACAAAGTCCACATAAAAGAAATTACGAAACAATTGATTTCTTATTAAATTTTTATCAAGCAATGAATGGAACCACAAGCATATCGAACGGTTAAGGACACAGTACTATTAAGAAATTACACCACTCGCTCCGCTCTTACGATTCATTACAATCCAAGTCGTTGATAGACGCAGACAATACTGTTATGCGCGCCGCGTGCCTAGATTACACCTAAAATCGAAATGGCCTCCCAAACCTGGACCCCGCCGGACATATCCGAAGTATGCCCCGATCAGATCGCCCCTCTGACCCAGTGCTCGCAAATCGGCTTCATGTACTTATCGTTGCTGGCTCAATTATTCGGGAATTCGTATGACCGACAAATATACAAAAACCCGTACAGGGATTACGGTGGGTCGCGGAGTTCGGATTACGCTCGTGGAATTCCATTAGGGCCGGTCGTGGATTCGGGTATCGATAAATCACACACGGCTGTGGGGCCGCTGCTGAAAATGGACTTCTCCATCGATCACAACAGTGAGATACACAGTCGCGAGCCCGCAGACAGTCACGCCTATTCGGGATCACCGTTCCACTCGAAGCCGGATGTATTCGATTTCCAAAAGCCGGATTTTAAATTTTCCTCCTTCGATTCGCCGGTTTTCGATTTTAATTATGTTTCTAAACGTTTTGCGGATGCCGAAGCAGCTGACAGCAAAGTGAGTGTTCGAGAAAAGAAAGTCACGAAGAAGGAGAGCCGGAAGAAGAGAGAAGCAAGAGTAGAAGAATATGATTTTATTGTTGTCGGAGCTGGATCTGCGGGCTGCGTCGTCGCTAATCGTCTCTCTGAAGTCAAGAAGTGGAAGGTTAGTTAGTATGCGTTACACATTCTTTATTTCATTTTGAATTCAAAACAATTAAATAATAGTTTAAAAAAAAAACTAAAAAAATACGCTTTTAATAGAAAATCCAACTTAATAATAGACAATAAATTTTAATAAATTTGATTGAATTTTTTGTTTGTTTATTGTTTAGGTGAGTGGACTAGCTCACAGCCCACCTGGTGTTAAGTGGTCACTGGAGCCCATAGACATCTACAGCGTAAATGCACCACCCACCTTATGATATAAGTTCTAAGGTCTCAGTATAGTTACGACGTCTACCCCACCCTTCAAACCGAAACGCATTGCTGCTTCACGGCAGAAATAGGCGGAGTGGTGGTCCTACCCGTGCGGACTCATAATAGGTCCTACCACCAGTAACAGGTAATAGTAATTAAAAATAGTGTAAGACAATTTTTTTTTATTGTAAAAAAAGCGTGGGGAGCTTTTCAGGATATTATCAAAATAACCCTTCTACTCATATCTGTTCATAAAACATTTATAACTGCTGATACCATGCACCCCATGCTTAATAAGCAAGCCAAAATAAGCCTTAATAAGTATTCCAAATTTAGAGTTAATCCGACGTTTTGAAGGGGGTCAAAATCATGTTCAAAGATTCCGTTACATACTAACATACATACGTCTGAAGCTAATAAAAGCGTCTTAAAAATAATCACCTATGTATATACGTGAAATTAATATGCTGATTGCTGTCGCTTAGATAATATTGTCTAAGCTAATAAATATAGTTTATGTTCTATTATGTTATAGAAACTTTTGTTGTTTTTAAGACAATGAACAACAAATATGTCAACCAGACAGTTTAATAGTCATTTGAATCTAAATGCGTCATCTATACTAATATTATAAAGAGGAAAGATTTGTTTGTTTGTTTGTATTGAAACTACTGAACCGATTTGAAAAATTCTTTCACTGCTTGGAGGCTACACTATTCCCGAGTGACATAGGCTTGAAAAAAAAGATGTTTAATAAAAATTAGGGATCCTTACTAAAACTCCAATAATGTCACCCAAGGTGTAAAAAAATTACCTAAAATATTCTTCACATCGCGTGCCCTGCGGAAACTATTGATGATAGAATAAAATAATGTACTACGGCTTTGTAGAACACATTATTATTTACAAAAATTGTTGCGTAACTTGTATAACTACTATAGTTATGCCGCAATAAGTGTTCTTTTATTTAAATAAAATTAAAGCAACGTCAAATATCGTTCAAATTTTTGTTAAAGACCCGAGCGGAGCCGGAGCGGGCCGCTTGTTGCGAGAATAAAGTAAAATCTAAAAATATGTTGTTCGACAATTTGTACAACAAGGCTTTTTGTATTCTAAATCGAGTCAATATGAGTTTTATTACAATACTAGCCGACCCGGCAGACTTCGTGGTGCCTCAATCGATAAATAAAATACCTAAGCTTTTGTATAAAATAAACACATCAAAGGAAAAACAAAATTGATATTTTTATTTAATTCCGAGCATTTTCATATTTATCTACCTTTTAAACATTCTCTGGACTTCCGCAAATAATTCAAGACCAAAATTAGCCAAATCGATCCAGCCGTTCTCGAGTTTTAGCGAGACTAATGAACAGCAATTCATTTTTATCTATAGGTATATATTAATACGTGAAGCAAAAACTTTGTACCCCTTTTTACGAAAATTGCGCGGACGGAGGAGTATGAAATTTTCCACACTTATAGAGAATATAGAGAAGAAACAAAGCTAATATTTTTTTTAAATAATGCATAAAAGATACATTAAATCAATAAAGAAAACATTACACACACTACATACCATGTATTTGACGCACACACCCATGCATACTATTTATTGTCAAACTTTTGTTCTTGACGTCTGTTGTCAAATTGAGAATAGATTAAATATTGTTTGTCTTTGTTAACATTTTTTATAGTGTAGTCTTGGCGAAATGTGTGATTATAGAAGTATAAAATACAATCATAATAGTGTACAAACTTACAATTCCAATTAATTATAGTCAAATTTCGACTACTGCGGGACCTCTAGTACATATAGATTTATAAACTAAAAAATAGTTTGAAGTTTTTCTTTGCTCGGTTTATCCGACAAACGTATAAAATTCACAGTATGTTTTTTTACAAACAACTTTTGTATAATATTAGAGTGTTGCAACCACGGAAACAGATTACATACACACACTTTCATATGGCGGTTTCTATAAAAACCGAACAATAGAACTTCTTATACGGTAGACCTGCTTTACACAGTGATGTAACATAATTGAAGACATAACTAGCTAATTAACCGTGCTCATATTTACACTTCATTTACTTGGTGAGTAAAGTAAGCCCATACGACTATCACACCACTTTGGTCATTTCTGCCGCGAAATATGTAGTTGCGTTATATCAAATAGATGTCATATCTCGGGTAGGCTAGAGTTGAAAAAGCCATGATCGTGTAGGGACAAAAAAAAACTCTCACAACCACTCAACAAACTCTCATACTGGTGGTATAACCTCTTGTGAGTCCGCACGGCTAGGCACCACAGTCCTGCTTATTTCTGCCGTGAACTAGTAACGCGTTTCGGTTTGAAGGGTGGGGCAGCCGCTGTAACTATACTGAGACTTTAGAACTTATATCTAAAGGTGGGTGGCGCACTTACGTTGTGAATGTCTATGGGCTCCGGTAACCACTTAACACCAGGTGGGCTGCGAGCTCGTCCACCCAACCAAGCTAAAAAAAAATTCTCTTGTGCCACTAATCGTTCTCCCTCCCTAAATATTTAATACTCTGGGACAGCGGCAATATATCCATTTGGGTCACGGTCTGACGGGTACAAAGTTCCACCACACTACGAGCACTTATTATTATACCCTCCGAGATGCAAACTTATTTCAAACGTAATTAAATTAAATAAGAAAATAATTCAAGACCATTTTGACTGCATCCATCGCGTATCACGTGATCAGAAAATATAAAATCGTTAACCTCAATTTATAACGGCTTCAATACACGAACGCCTAAGAGGATATTTCGTAATAAAATTTATCGTAGATATATACAATATATGTAGGAAATACAATATAATAAATTAGGTAGGTACATTCCAAATTAATCGCTTGATAAAAGCTAATGAGACGAAAGTTTGGACTGCTATATCATTGAGGATTCGACCTCACAAGTCAAAGCGGGTAGCGGTAATCATGCTGTGATGTCCACGGACTTCACTAACCACGCGACATTGGACGTGGTTTTTACGGATGTTCCGTTATAACTACTGAACCGTGCATCCGATTGACTTGAAACTTGGTATTCATGTAGAAAATAAATGTACTTAATGGATAGGCTAATATTTATGTGAGTTTTGGACTCCCTACACCAGTTGCGGGGGCGTTAGTAATGAGAATCTTCGTGGGGGTGAGAAATAATAATGTTAATTTTGAATGCCCAGCGAAGCGGACGGGTTCAGCTAGTACCATATAAAATGGAATAAATGTCGCGTATTAAGGCAAAATGTTGCTTAAACGTAATAGCCTTTCACCAATCGATATAGGTATACACATTCGCTTGATCTTATTCAACCGCAAAAGCTATTTACGAAATACTTTCCTAAACTATCTTTTTTATTAATTCTATTTTATTTCTAAGAGACCTGAAAGACTAAAATATACATTAAAAAGAAAAAATAAATTAGAATTAAAAATAGTGTATGAAAAAATGATTTTATTGTAAAAAAACGTGGGGTGCACGGTATCAGTAGTTATACATATTTTATGAACAGATATGAGCAGAAGGGTTATTTTGATAACATCCTCAACTATTAAAATTAATTTTCTATTTTTTAGTTGAATTTTCTCTAAAAGCGTATTTTATTTGTTTTTTTAAACTATTATTTATTTTTAATTTTTTAGTTGAATTTTTTCATATATTTTTTTAATATTGAATCGTCATCGGTCTTAATAAGTATACCAAATTTCGAGTTAATCCGACGTTTTGAGGGAGGTCAAAAACATATTCAAATATTCCGTTACATAATAACATCTGAAGCTAATAAAAGCGTATTAAAAAGGCAAAGATAGGCAATCCAGACGCCATTATAACAGAAATCGACATAATTACTTCAGTGCGCCGCGTAGGGCACCGGTGACCTACAACGCAGTCAACGGAATATATTTCATTTTAAAACAAGCTTGATACAAACAAAGTACTCAATTAATATTCTGATGCATTATCAAGTACGTTTTCCATTGGAAAATAATAATATTTAAATAATTTCCATGAAATACGACAATGTTTAAAACGTATGTACATAATAATATTATACGGTAAAATTATTTTAAAGTTTAATTTGTTCAAAGTAAACACAATGAATTAATTATGAACTAGAGGTCCCGCAGTAGTCGAAACTCGACTATAATTAATTGAAATTGTAAGTTTGTACACTATTATGATTGTATTTTATACTTCTAAAATCACAAATTTCGCCAAGACTACACTATAAAAAATATTAACAAAGACAAACAATATTTAATCTATTCTCAATTTGACAACAGACGTCAAAAACAAAAGTTTGACAATAAATAGTATGCATGCGTGCGTGCGTCAAATACATGGCATGTAGTGTGTCTAATGTTTTCTTTATTGATTTAATGTATCTTTTATGCATTAGTTAAAAAAAATATTAGCATTGTGCACTTCCTCTCTATATTCTCTATAAGTGTGGAAATTTCATACTCCTCGGTCTGCGCAATTTTCGTAAAAAGGGATACAAAGTTTTTGCTTCACGTATTAATATATAGATTATAATTTAACGCTCGAGTGAGTATTCGGCGACGTGTACTAATTATTATTTTTTCATAGTAATAGAGGTTTGACCAAATCTTCTGAATCGCATTCTTTATTTCTGAAAGCTCAAAGTGAATCTTTGTCTATCTAAATAAAGAATTGCAAGAAATTTATTAAGTTTTAAATTATTTTGAGGGCACAAAAAAGTATACCGTACTTAATTATTTTTTGTATGAAAATAGATAAAAAGAAGAGTGCGAGTGTGATAGGAATATCTTGGTGTCTCTTTCGCACACTCACATCAATCAGAATGTGACACCTTAATAATTATTTTGACAAATAAATTTCAAAGTCTTCTAGTATAATCCAATCAAGTTCAAGTAGTTTAATGATCAATATCTATATCAGATTTCGGGATATAGCTTTAACAAATGTAATTGTAAAAATAATTTAATATTTATAACTGTCACGGACTGTAACTGTCAGATAAATATATCTATTCCATGATAACTGTACATTCGCTTAGTTTAAGGTTATTCCGATTTGGTAGTAAATTATGCCCTCGCGAACCAGCTGCCTTTGAGATGTCGATCGATATCTTCTAGCTGAGAACCTTTGAGTTTGCCTATTCGTCCTAACCAAGCGGCAAGGGCTCTATATAAGACGCCGCCCTTCCATCCAAAAAAAGGCTTAGAGACAACTTCTAGAATGAGTTCTGAATAGAAGAAGTAGCAAAAATGTTAAAATTTTAATCAGTTTTTTTTTCATTAACAATCTGAAAGAGGGAGGAGGTTAACCGAAGAAGACATGGATTGAGTGTGTGAAAGACGATATGAGAGAAAGAGGAGTGAGTGTTGAGATGACGGCTGAAAGAGGAGGATGGAATATAAAAATCCGCTGTGCCAACCCCACCTAGTAGGATAAGGTGGAGACAAAGAAGAGAACAATCTGAAAAATAATAATTGTACAAAACAGTGGTAAGGGATGTGGCGTAGTGTATGAAAACAACTACCATATATCAACATAACGGCTCACTGTGGACTCGAACAGTTAATTCAATTTTCATAGTTTATACTCGATCAAACTTTGCAACTGCGACCGAGAATGTATGTACATAGGTTCACTCATTTTTTTTTCGCTTAAAAAACTGTTTTCGCAATGTTGGTATTACGTTTTGAATAGTTTTTGAGTGTGTTGCAGCTTAAATGCTGGCTGGCATTAATTTTATTTTATTTAGAGCAAACTTATTTTGATTGTATTAAATAACAGTAAATTAAGCATTTATTTATAGGAGCCACAGTGATATAATATTGATCAAAATTAAATATGGATTTGAAATTTGTAAGAAAAAGCATAACTCGTGCTGTAGATTATTAAGTACTATTACGCCATCTATCGCCGAATAGTCGAAAGAATATCACGATCGAATAGCACCTAGAACGCTCGAGAAGTACAACGCCATCTATTGTCAGATAGCGGAAACATAATACGAAGCGGAAGAAGTACAGTATGTTCACGGATGCTGAAATATCGTCTGTTAACAAGGCATTACTGTTGTAAATAAGATTGCTGATGATAGTTTGTCAGCTGTTTCTAAATAAATAAAAAATCAATCTACCTGCAGGTTTTGCTACTTGAAGCTGGTCCAGAAGAGCCAGACGTTACCAGCGTGCCAGGTTTTGCTCCAGCACTGGCTAGGTCAAACATCGACTGGAATTATCGAACTCAACCCGAGGAGTTGACGTGCAGAGCACAGCGAGGGCAAACTTGTGCTTGGTACAGGTAAGATATAGTGTAACTAAACAGATTCATATTTTATGGTTGATAACAAAATGTCATTATCGATTCATTAAATGACACTCAATGAATGCCCACTTGGAACAATCTTAAGGCTTTGTCAAACAGAACGCGTAATTAGCGCGCGTCGGAGCGCTACGCTATGACGCCGAGCACTGGCGCTCTGTTTGACGGTATGTTACCATAGTAGTACAACACATCTCGGCGTCATAGCGCGGCGTTAGTTTAGCGCTCTGACGCGCGCTAAGTACGCGTTCTGTTTGACGAAGCCTTTACTCAATTCCATTAGACAGAGGATACAATTTATTTGTATTTTATAAATTATGTATGTTTATACAGGGTGTTCTAGAAGGTAACGATAACCTAGCATCGGGCGAATCCTCTTATAATAAACTAGCAAAAATATCTTCTTTATAACGTTTTGGACACCCTGTATAATACAGAATGTGTTAGCATGATTTCACAAGCGCTTATGGTTCTTATTTAATTTGATCGATTTTGTTCCTGATTTGGACATGACTTTGGCCGATCGATCCCGTTTACGTATTACACTCCATTACTCTCGCATGAACTGTAATCGTAGCTAGCAAATTCAATAATTTACGAGTATTTACTAACAAAAAAAATATCGCCTCGTTTTTCTGAAGTTTTTTACAACTGAACTCACTGAATTTCTCGATTTTTCCACGAAGATTTTCGAAAGAAAAACCCATTTTGTCAGTATTTCTGAATATCTCATAAAATTCCTCGTACACGTGTTCACACATTAACCAGAAACGTTTATGAAGCGTACCGAGTCGATTACTTCCAAACGACACATCCAGTGTCAACGACCCGAAGTTCCACGAAGACTTCTTGGAACGTAACCGCGTCGTAATGATGTCAACTTGAATTATATACTTGAGATCTTGACAACCTTTGGAAGCGAAATATTTAGAAATATCAAAGGGGAGACTGTCGAAGGAAATCCCATAGGCATTATAATCTGAATGCCACAATCCAGCCAAATTTTAGGTCAATACATCAGAATGCTATATATTGACAGCAATGCGACTGTGGCTGTTAGATCCCTGATTTGGCTCAAAAGCTAAGAACCATCGCTACTTTAAGCTTGTCTTGATAGACCCACCTGATCTTAACAATGAGTCGCGATTTCTATCTGGCAGTAGACGAACTCTACTTACTCTGCTACCCTAATGAAGCAATCCCTCCATAATGAGCAAAAGGCTTTCAAACAAGAACGCAAGACTGCTCTACAGTACATAATTCTTTTAGACCACGACGGATCTCCGAAAACTTACTAGTTCCAATTACTCAGTGCTTTGTGTTCTCCGATGACTCATAAGATAGAAGTATAACTGATAGAAGATGAAGTGATAAATTGAAAAATCTTCAAAGCTTTACGCGATTTTAATGCTTAATTTATCAACAAAACAGTGATTGTACAAACTATTACCTACATCAGAGATTGTGTGTTAGACTATTTAATTCTCCGTTCTATAAATGTACAGGCATGTCACATTTCAATTGTTAATTTTAACAAAGGATTTACGTGTTTCCTGTCTACTCCGATGACAAGTCGTTTAATCTTGAAATATGAGACAAGCACATTATTGTTAACAAATCTCTGTGTTTCATTATCAAATGCTTAGAGAAAATTGTAGAATTGTTCAATATATAATAACGTACATATTTGATTCTGATTTGCAGTGGACGTGTTATGGGAGGGTCGAGTGCTATAAATTATCTTGTATATATGCGAGGTAATAAAAAAGATTACGATGATTGGGCCGCCTTAGGTAACTCAGGTTGGACCTATGAAGAGGTAAGTTCGTGGATAGCTGATTCACTAAAAATGCATTTTAATTTCCTTCCCTCCCCTGATTACTTTTACTTTCTAATTATGCTTTTTTAATCCGATCATATAAAACATTGTATATGGAACAGCTAGTTTTAAATGTGGCTAAATTAATGTTATGATCAAATTCAACTAATTTAAAGTAACTTAAATATTTACTTAATATTTACTTAATTATGACGTTATTAAATAAATTAATTTTGCATATAATTCTGCCAAGTTATTGCTTTCATTGCTGCATGAAAATGTTATATATTATATACATAGTGAAATATTAATGTTTAAAGAATATTCATTTCAGGTACTGCCTTACTTCAAGAAATCCGAAAACAACAGAGATATTGAAGCAATGGATAAAAAATATCACGGCGTCAACGGCCCTCTTAATGTTGAACGTTTTTCATACGTCGATGACAATGTCGTAATGTTAGTAAACGCATTCAATGAAACTGGTCTACCTCTAGTTGACTTCAATGGTCAGCAACAAATAGGTACAATGACAGCACAAACAACTTCAGCAAACGGGAAGAGAGTCTCAACGAATACTGCCTTCATAAAGCCAATAAGAAAGAAAAGAACCAATCTCACAGTACGTACTAACGCTCGGGTGACTAAAATTTTAATAGAACGCCACAAGAAAATGGCTAATGGAGTTAAATATATTAAAAACAACGTTTGGTATAAGGTATATGCAAGAAAAGAGGTGATACTAAGTGCTGGTGCACTGAATTCCCCTAAAATTCTAATGCTGTCTGGCATTGGACCGAAAGACGTATTAGAAGCATTAAATATATTTGTGATTAAAGATTTAAAAGTTGGTCACAATTTACAAGATCACGTAACCACCAATGCCATGTTAATGTCACTGACGAACAAAACTTCTACTACGATACCGGCTAACCAGATTATAAACCAGGTAAAAGAATATTATAAAACTAGGAATAGAAACCACCCACTTTCAGCTACTGGACCTTTACAGCTAACTGCTTTTATGAGAACTAAGTTTGCAGACAAAGACGAATCCTTACCAGACATTCAAGTACATTTCGACGGACGTAATTCTAAAGAGTTCTATTCAGATCCAACAAATTATTTAGAAACAAATGTATTACCATTCTCCTATTACGACAGTATAAACGTCAGACCAATACTGTTGGTGCCAGAAAGCAAAGGATATTTGACTTTGAATAAAACCCATCCTGTTTTCGGTCAACCTTTGATATATTCAAGGTTTTTCACCGTAAAAAAAGATATGGACACTTTAGTAGCGGCCTTAAAATCTATTACAGAATTGGAAAGAACCAAATCCTTTCGAGAAAACGGCGTTAAATTTATAAGGAATACAGTCAGTGCGTGCAAACCATATAAATGGGGAAGTTATAAATATTTTGCGTGTTTATTTACAAGATATACCTCGACGATATTTCACCCATCGGGTACATGTAAAATGGGACCGAGTGATGATTTAGAAGCAGTTGTAAATCCTAAACTGGAAGTGTATGGTATTAAGCACTTAAGAGTGGCTGATGCTTCTATTATGCCGAGAATAGTTCGTGGAAATACAAATGCCCCAGTTATAATGATCGGTGAAAAAATATCTGATCTAATTAAAGACAGATGGAAAGATTGTACGGATTGAAATTAAAAAACGACGCTGTTTCTTAATTTAATCTTATTAGGATTTTAATAAAACTATCTTACTATCTATGGTTGTTTCACTATCGGTACTAATTTTTGAAGATCTCTTTACCAAGAATTTCTCAATAATATCAAGGATCAAATAAATCAACATGCCATATTACCTATTACATCATCTTGGCCATACTGTAAAATACATTTCATTACTTTAGGACAGACGACATAGTCAGCACAACATTTAGACAAGATTATATTACAAACAATCGTAATTGGTGAGCTTACACACACATTACAATTACTTGTACCAATATTTATAAAATCCATAAGCCATCGATACATAACTTAAAATAATCGCCACAAATGTAAAAACTATTCACTTCAGATGATTTTATTTAGATCTACAGTAAAATTTTAAGTATTCAGGTAACCAACTTTAGAGATAATTCTCTCATAGTGCTTCAGGATCGTGTGCCATTCTGTATGTCTTACAGATGCAAAGGTAACTTTATTTTAGTGCGTTCAGAGATCAAATTAGCTACAAGACACTCTTTGCTTCAATTAACTACCACTCTTTGACGATAAGCACTATTACGTGTACCTGGATGCATGTTTACATTCACGTTTAAATGCAAGTGTATGAGAATACACCTCACAGAGTGAATTAACACTACATTACTTAGCACACTGCCTGGAAGTTTTGCAAGTGACACATTTCATAGTGGATGTCTTATAACAACATTTCTTCGAAATCCTAATAGAAACAATAATGGAATCATCGTAGCCAATGAACATTTTGAAAAAAGAACTTTATTCTGTCACTTATTATAAAATTGTAATTAAGACACAGCACAATGATAACATCATAGAAATCACAACACTACATCTTAAAACTCAATTTTATTTTATGAATAATAAACTGCACGTATTACACTTTATTTGAGCACGTTTTGTCGTCGGTAATTAACTTAGAAATTAATATGATTTTAATTAAATCCTCTAAAAACGGAAGACGTTGTTCCATTTTCATTATATCTACCTATTAGTATGATGGGATGTTTTAAATATTTCAAATTCTTGGAGAATTACGTTCTTTTCAAATCGTATTCCCTGTTAGTAGACTTATAACACTAGTGAACTCAGAGACTCATCTGACCTTTCTTGGGTATCGTTAGTTCAATTTATTCGACTAGAAACTCGTGCATCCCATACTCCCTTACATCTTCACATCGTCTTTTACCTTCGGTGAGATTCCATAACTGATTTAAATTGAGCAAGTCGTGAGTTTATCTAGCCATAATGTCATAGATACTCATTGAAAGCACTCTTGTCCTAATTACAGGATTTGTGGCGGTAGTCGTTATACGACATAATATATTTGACAGATGCCCAAATCTTGCTAAAGGTATAAGTTCCGAACAACAAACATTCAGGACGCTGGTCTACCTTACAGATTTATCCGCTCGATGGAAGATTTTCTTTTTGTCGTAGACTCAAAATGTTCTCAACGCGAATAACACTAAACATCCTCAGGTTTAGATCTAATCTATATTTAGTCAATGATTTAGTTTCATTCATTTGCAAATATTTATATTCTATGATTCACAATTAATGTTGTATTTTGCATAATTTTTTTTGTTTTGTTTTGGGTTTATTGATAACGCACATAAAAAATAATATAATTAGATACATACGAACCTTATTTTCATTTATTTGGCTGTTCGAGAAACTATGTAGAAGTTTTTACTACGATTTTTATGAATCACGGATACAAAACTTAACGAGATATTAAATGGATCGTAAAAACTTTCATTAAACCATAAAAATTATAACATGATAAAACGGTTAAATGTTTTCAAACTTAATTTTTGAACAGCTACATAAATATAATAATAATAAAATTGGTGGAAGATTTTTTATTTAACGTATTTAATTCGTTTTCAGGGGTAAAACAATGGGTGGTTCCAGCGCATTAAACTATATGGTCTACATGAGAGGAAACAAAAGAGATTATGATGCATGGGCAGAACTAGGAAACCTTGGGTGGAGTTACCGGGAGGTATGAGAATACGTATACCCATTTTTTTATAATCAGTTCGTGAGACTCGTTTTAATCACTGATTGATTAACTTACAACACTGTTAAGGATTAAATCTTTATAATTCAGTTTAGATATAGTGATAATGATGATGACTTATGGCACTGAGACGTGGTCGCTCACAATGGGCCGTATCAGATGGCTCAAAAAGTCACCCAAAGAGCAACGAACAGGGCTAAGCTCGGAGTTTTCCTCTGATGGCAACTTAGTAATAAGGAGATTCGCAGGAAACCATGGTATCCAACATAGCCCAAAGGCTTGCGACGCAGAACAGATAGGGCCGAAAAATTCTCGAGTGGCAACCGCGTGCCGGATGATGTAGCATGGGTAGCCCTCCCACAAGGTGACCTGCGACTTATTGGGGCTCGTAGGAATTCGTTGGATGCAGGCAGCCCAGGACCGCTTGTTGTATCGAAGCTTGTGAGAGGTCTATGTCCACCAGTGGCCACTGTGGGCTGAAGATAAATAAATAGATAAGACTTTAATGGGCCCTATAATAATGATTTCATCATACCAGATTTTGGCTAAATACCCAGAAGTAGGCAGCAGCTTGGCTTAGAGTTGTTAATGACCATAAACGATGTCGAATATTCTTTATTATGTGTCTTATGCTTTCTACTAGTTTAAAAAGTTATTGAAGACGAATACAAAACAATATATTATGAATAAGTGTGAATCTATATAATTAATGTTTTCTCTGTGTTTTTTTTTTTAAATTTATATCAGTATAACTTACAATTAAATACTACTTATACATGTATTAATTTATTTCCAGGTCTTACCATACTTCAAGAAGTCAGAAAATAACCAAGATATCGAATCTCGGGATAAATATTTTCATTCCACTAGAGGGCCACTAAACGTTGAAAGATTCCCGTACATAGATATCAATACTATGATGTTGGTTGAAGCTTTCAAAGAAAAGGATCTTCCATTAACAGATTTTAATGCTGAAAACCAATTGGGAACTGATATAGCTCAATCTACATCTAAAGAGGGCCGTAGGATGTCTACAAACGTGGCTTTTATTAGACCCATACGTCACAAGCGGCCAAATTTGAAGGTTGTCAGTGAAGCTTTTGTAACAAAAATATTGACTAATCCAATTAGCAAAACAGCTTTTGGGGTACAATATTTCAAAAACGGCCTGTTATTCACGGTACATGCCAAAAAAGAAATCATTGTTAGTAGTGGTGCTATAAATTCGCCCAAGTTACTAATGTTATCAGGAATCGGACCTAAATTTCATCTAGAAAGCCTAAATATTCCAGTTATTTCAGATTTAGACGTGGGTCATAACCTTCAAGATCATGTAACAACAGATGCTCTGGTGCTAGCTTTATCTAACAAAACGTCTACGATGGTTAACGGACGGCAACTTGTTAATGAAATATACGACTATTACTCACAGCATCCAAGGAAAAATGGTCCATTAGCAGCCACCGGGACCCTGAGCGGCACAGCTTTTATAAAAACCCAATTTTCATATGACCAAGCACCAGATATTCAATTTCATTTTGACGGTCGAAACTTTAAAGAGTTTTATTCTGATCCTACGACATATTTAGCAACGAATATATTCCCTCTATCATTTTACGACAGCTTGTCAGCTAGGCCGCTGTTACTAACCCCAAAAAGCAGAGGGTACATACTTTTAAATCAAACAGATCCAGTATTCGGACCACCTTTGATTTATTCAAAATTCTTTACGGTCAGAGAAGATTTAGATGTCCTAATAGCTGGTTTAAGATTCGCTGTAAGCTTAGAAAATACAGAAGCATTCAAAATCAGCGGTGCAAGCTATGTAAAAATACCTGTACAAGCGTGCTCTGGGTTTGACTGGGGCTCAGATGAATATTTTACTTGTCTATTAACGCATTACACTTCAACTATATTCCATCCAGTCGGTACGTGTAAAATGGGTCCTAAATGGGATAGAGAAGCAGTTGTTGATCCGAGATTGAAAGTATACGGTATAAGAAATTTAAGAGTCGTTGATGCTTCGATTATGCCATTGATTGTTAGAGGTAATACAAATGCACCAACTATCATGATAGCTGAAAAAGCATGCGATATGATAAAGGAAGAATGGTTGACGTAAATATTTAAGTTTATTTAGGGTTTATTGTATAGTTCATAAGTATAATATATATTTGTGAAATTTCAGTATGATTATTTTATCGTAAAGGCTCATGAGAAAAGTTCATTAGTTTGGATGTAAATATTGGACGGTACCTTAAAAATAAAATAAAACATTTTTATTTTTATTACATTCGACTTTAATATTCTCCATTTTTGTAGGATTAATATAATACAAACAAAGAACTGTAATACATCTACTTGTGATTTCTAGAATGCTCTTTGTAAAAAAATATAAATATATATATCAATTTTTTTCAATATTAGTTTTAGAATGATACATTAATAAAATAAAAATCGCATTGTGTATTTAAAGACTCTGTTGACATGAATTATTAACATACCGTTCATTTTGTTGTAAAGTAAAAAAAGTAAAGAACACTTGCAAATATTTGTTGCTACAGGTATTTATACAGGTTTATTGTATGACGCGATTAGTATCTAGAACAAATAAGGTCATCGCATTTTTTTTTTATTGCTTAGATGGGTGGACGAGCTCACAGCCCACCTGGTGTTAAGTGGTTACTGGAGCCCATAGACACGCCACCCACCACAACGTAGATGCGCCACCCACCTTGAGATACAAGTTCTAAAGTCTCAGTATAGTTACAACGGCTGCTCCACCCTTCAAACTGAAACGCATTACTGCTTCACGGCAGAAATAGGCAGGGCGGTGGTACCTACCCGCGCGGACTTACAAGTGGTCCTACCACCAGTAAGATATGTAGTATGTATGCATCGATTCAAATATGTAGGTAAACATTAAGAATAGACGAGTAAATAAACTAACAACAAATAAATCTAAGAGTAATTAGGGGTTTCAACTACTATAAGTTGTTAACGTAAAGGCTAAAGTGACTTCATTTTATTTAATGTTTTCACTAACTAATTATCCTTTTATTTGTCTGCAATAATGCTAATAAAGCGTAAAAAGTAGTTTTTTTTTCATCGGATTAGTCTTTTTTTCTATCTGAATTAGTATTAGTATGGTCTGTCCTCGTTCATAATAGTGTTTTCCCCAAACACCGAATATACTGTAGCTGCACTGCATACTTGTGAAACTATACGGACGTAAAGGCCAACTAAATATGTTTTAGTTTGGACGAAGGCAAAAGATCTCGTGACCGCAATCCAATGCGCTGGTCCGACCAAATCCGCACCGGTCTGGATACCCACAGTCTACGATGCCATACATAGCGCCAAGAATAAAGGAGTATGGCTAAACATTATCCAGAGAAGGATAATGGGAAAATGTTGTCACGACCCAGACATGAGGATTGCAACTCAGGGAGGAGGAGAATGAACCTTCATACTCGTTTATTCTAATCAAAAATCAAATAGACTGATACATTACGACCTTCTGGTTTCAAAGCAAACGGACGAACAAACTACTCTTAATCGATTAGATTGAGACTTTAAACTGAAGTCACAATTACGTTATGCTTACTGCTGGTACTGCTTATTTTACCACTTATTTGCAAAAGAAGCGACGTTATAATATAACAATACGAGCTATTTTCGTATAACATTGACATTAACGCAAGCTCTTGGATTTGTTGGTGATGTGAAACAAGAAACTTTTAAACAAAGAACAACGGAATAACATCCCGTACTGATTCATCTGTGTGTTGTGGCAACAAAGAATGCGAGTTTTGACTAAACTCTGGCGACTTTTTGGTTTCTCTACCTAGCTAGAATCCTAGGCTACTGCAGCTACGCGCAGACGGGTAGATGAGTTCACGGCCTTAACTTGAGCGAATTTGCTAACACTGGCCCTAGCAAGAGCAGTGCTTGGCAAAATCTACCAAATTCGCAGTAGCATTCGCAGTTGCATAGCATTGGGGATGTATTGAATTTGTTAAAGCACGAAACAAAATCTTATATGTTTGAAATTTAATAACTTATTTGGGCTGTTTTATTTCATGTAACTTAATTGTGGTTACCATTATTAGTAACAAAGCGAATTACGAAAATTAATTACAAACAACGCGAATTACTAAAATCAAAAAGTTAAGCACCTTTTATTATGAAATAGTTCATTTGCAATTCCAAAAGATCCTACTTTCTAATCATTTAATTAAAAGACATGTGTGAAACACCTTAGTCTTAAATTTAAATTAATTAAAATTAAACTAGATGTCTTTAACTACAGAGTCAAAAAAATACGTGCAATATAGTTTAGACTTTGACGACTTCCTGGAAATTAGCACCAGTGTTTAGTCATCTTGAAAAGGCCATTAAAACTGAACTGCTGGCATTAAAGCAGGCAATAAATAGCGCATAAAACCGCCCGTTCCGTGGACTTCCCGAAGACGCATCTGCCGTTACTACACCCCCATTATCTGCTTCCATAAACCGCTGAAACACGAACAATCTGGAAACTGTATCTTTGAGACCGACTTACTTAGGCCCCGAAATCTCTGAGCACTTCCGTTTGGGTGTTGTGATGGAAAATGGGACTGAATCATCTTACTATATTAAACAGTGTGTGAGAACTTTGAACGAAAAATAACTAGCGGTAGAGTGTTTAGCAAAGTCACATTGAGATTATAACACAGTCTTGATTTTGTTTTTTAAGCTGAAAATATGAGCTCATCACCTTACCTGATGCTAACGTGACGCATAGATTACGAGAATACAATTTTTATCCTTTTCTATAACTTAGTGCTGAGAAACTCCCACCTGCCGGGACCTGCGATATTGGCAATGCGGACAACACGTTGTTCATGGCCGAGCAGGGTAAATTTTCGCGAGTCTATCTTCTTGCCACTGTTGTTGTGTTGCAACATCACACATGATTCGGAATCGGTACATGGCTCCATCCTATCCGGTGGACGCTGTCAAAATGTTCTCCAAATAAGGTCCGATTGGTCGATGAAGGTGTCTGCGTCTTTCTAATACTCTCCTGTTACGACAAGGGTTAGGTTTGAAATACATTGATAATATTGACCAACACTGCGAAAGTCAGCTCGCCCAACGAGACCTTCTTCCAAGAGACCCTCAAAAGATCGTTCGCGCTTGAGCGGTTCTCTCAAAACCTGTGTTGTCCGCTGATAGATCGAGTCTGTCCCCCTCCCAGATATTGAGATATTGAAAGATCGGGACTATACAAACGCGCTCCAGCAATTAACCGACCTCCTCCAGCAATACGGTGAAGCGATACCCGGCGGCTGTAAAGCATGTCTCTTCTATCATGAGAGCCAATAACAATTCTACTGAGAAACAACATTTAAATAACGAACTACGTCAAAAAGCGCGTAACTACGAAAGCCCACCTATTTTCAATCGCGGTGAGTGAATTCTTAATAAGTCAAAAGAAACCGACCATTCCCGTTGGGCTCTCCTCAAACTGGTTATACCTATCGTAAAATTTACAGCAGTCATAGACTTAAAAGTTCACGAAAGTGCTTTGAATAAACAGACTAACTCCAAACGGCCGGATCCGAAGCTCGCCTAGCTTCGAACTTAATGAATGAAAACTTCGGTCGTTGAGAATTCATAATTACAAATCTTTAAATTATTGATCAACAATAATGCAATAAGTTTATTTACACATGGCTAGTTCAATAATACTTTGGAAATTATGTATAGGGTTGTTACGTACTCAACCGCCGCTGGCAAAAAAACTGGAAACAACTGTCCAATCCTTCAACGCAGAATTGCTTTTTGGCAGAAATAGCCAGGAAAAAATGGATCCATGTGGGCTCACAACACACCTTACATAACCAGTAAAAACAGTGATAATTTTTTCTGTAATGAAACGAATAACATTTCCAACTTCGTCGAAAGAGTAAAAAGGGATAAATGATTTAATCTCTTCCTTAACAGGGAAGTAGATAAAACTAAAGTCGATGCACGCTGTTAGTGACTCTTGTTAGACTTTCACTTGGATATAAAACAGGACTGGATGTATTGGTATTTCACCATCTTTGTCAAGATATAAGTCTCAAAGGCTAGTGCTCATATATTGATAACTTGTTTCGCAAAATACCCGAGGACTACGTCAGTATTTTGAAAAAGTCTGTTTTTGAAAAGGAATTAGTAAGAGTTTTATGATAAGACAATTAGTTCGACACCAAATTGCTCCGCTGCCGTTTCCGCCATATATCAGGTAACAAAAAATAGGTGCGTGGTTTTATAGGATATAAGTTGCCCTGGCATCTCTCACGGCAATACAACCAGATATAAATTAGTAGGGTCTTTATGAATCTATATATTAATAGGTGAAGCAAAAACTTTGTATCCCTTTTTACGAAAATTGCGCGGACAGAGGAGTATGAAATTTTCCACACTTATAGAGAATATAGAGAAGAAGTGCACAATGCTAATATTTTTTTAAAATAATGCATAAAAGATACATTAAATCAATAAAGAAAACGTTACACACACTACCACGTATTAGACACACACACGCATGCATACTATTTGTTTATTGTTAAACTTTTCTTATTGCTTTCGGTGGTCAAGTAGAGAATAGATTAAATATTATTTATCTAAAGTGTGGTCTTAACGAAGTCTGTGATTATATAAGTATAATAATCTTTGACAATAGAATCATAATGGTGTACAAACATATAATATAAATTAATTATAGTCGAATTTCGACTACCGGGGGAGGACTAGTTCTCATTAATTCGCACACCATAAACACCTAAATATTGGTGATCACGGTTTTTAGTTTGTCATCAAAATAATCTTCCACAGTAAAATTTCCAATCACGGATTTTAGTTTCTCATCAAAATAACCTTCAACAATAGAATTTCCAGCAACACTACACCATTGTTGTCCACTATAGCCGTATTTGTTGATTTATGTGCCATTTATGTGTGCGGTTTCTATCTGCTATACAAGAACTGGGATTAAAATTATTTCACTTTTAATGATCCAACATAAGTGTGAAGAGCTTTAGAACATATACACACCTACAGCTAGGTACCACCTATTAGATGTCTTCCGGCCTG